TGGTCAACAAGACAAATACAAAAGGTTTTACCACCTCAGCAGTGAGGCAGACAGCAGTAAAACACATAATGTTAGATTCACTGGCATTTTAATCATGATTCAAAAAGGAAAACCTGTATAGACAAAACCAGCATAAAAAACTGCAAGTAGACTTTTTCTGACATTTATCAGAACTATTTCATGGATTTTTTTTACATTTTCAATTGCACATCTGCTTGTTAAAAACCATTACAGTAACCACAGCTAAACTCAGATAAGCTATGGTTTAGTTCTGAAATTAAAGTCCTGGAATCTTTTCCAGCAAACATCCTGAACATAGTCCAAAATTAGCAGATACCAGCCAACATTCATGTGTACGGGGTCCTTGTTTGACAGAAGCCAATCTCATGGCTGGTTTCTTCCAAATGAGCTTGCTGGAAAACCAGCAGCCTATCGGGATCCGATCAGTGATCTCAGCCAATGCCTGCAAGCACTGATGGTCTCCCTATCAGAACACAATAGCTCAGCGAGTAGAACCCTGTACTAAAATTGCATCATTAGTACAGCGACCTCTTCCATTCCTCCTCTGGGATGAACGAAAAACAAAACCAAAGCCCCGTACAGACTATCAGGCATTTTTGTTCAATCCGGCAGGCTGAACAAAAAAAACCTGACAAATCACTGTATTAACACAAGTGATCTCCCCCACTGTGCTATTGTGTTCTGACAGGGAAACTGCCCCCCCACCAGAACACACCAGTCGATGCTCTTAGCCATTGGTTGAGAGTGCTAATCGGAAACTGATTGGCAGACCTATTTCATTCATGCCCCTAGGACAGAAACTGGACCAGCTGCCGTACACATGGGCCAAATATCAGACAATTTCTGTTGATTTTCGGCCTGTGTTTATGGGGCTTTACCGCATGTACCAGGCTTTAGTCTTCAGCTCAGAGGATCCCAGCATAGAAAAGCTGAGTATACCAACAAGGGGTTGTGCCTACGTAAAGAGGGTAAATGTTATGGTAACTTGAAGGGTTGACTGAGGTTTAGTGTCAGGATTAGACACATGTTACACTAAAGATTCTGTAGCTGGTAAAATCTCACCAACAACCAATTTACTGAGGTGCATCAGTCACTCTTCCTCTTGGCAGCATTACCACAATACACCAGCACTAGGATTCACTACACATAAGCCATGTATTCTAGCACTCAAACTTAGTGTCAAACAATATAAATCACCACATATACAGCGTTAACGTGCTTCAAAAATATCATACAAAGCGAAATATCTTAAAGTGTCCGTGTATAAATAGTCCAACTGACTATTTCCAACTGAACAATTTTTCAAATAATTTAAAGCAAGTGCTCAGTGCTGTGCAAATTTTCTCCAAAAACATTAATCCATCCATGAGTAACATTTGTGATCCTCCACAGTAGAGAACTCACCAAATTGCCATGACCACCTAAATCAGGTAAGTCATTAGGCGCTTATGTTGCCGCAGGGGGTATTGCTTTCCAAGGCCACTTTCAAGCCAGGACCATCTCCACTCCTCCCACCAGTGAGAGTGAGGGCTCCAACCACTACCAGTGAAGTTTCTGCTGATAGCAACTAGCCTTTTAAATATTTTAAAAAATGTTTGCATGGACACATTATTTATCCATGGACACTTGAAGATATTTAACTTTTTATTATGTTTATTGAAGCACAAGTTAGCACTGTATATGTGGTGATTTATAATCCCTTGCTGGCCCAAGTGCTGAAGAATCTTGATTGCAAACAAGGAAGCAACAATAGCATGATAAGTTCATGGTTCAACCAGGAAGGGAGTGATTCCACTGGGGAGAAAGGAGGCAGTCCTGTTGTTGGTGGGTTGTAGCCAGTTAAAAACCGTGTGACATGCACATTAGAGTTGCAGGGAAAGACATTAGTGTGAGAGGATCTTGGTGTAGGGCATCACTCACTGCTCTAAATACCCAAAGGTGGCAAAGTTACCATATTTGGCCCTCATGCACACTGGACGTTTTGATAACGCTGGTAACGTTAACTTTGTAAAGACACATTAAAAACGTGAGTTTTTCAGCTTTTTTAACATTTTTGCATTAGTGTTTAGCCACGATTAGCAGCGTTTTCCCATGTTTTTCCAGATTTGCATTTAGTGGTGTAGAGATGTGCTGGTTGCTTTAAATCTTAAACAGCAGTTGCAAAGCATTTTTTTTCTTTTCTCTCTTTGTGAGTGACAGACAGGAAAAGCAGGACTGTGCTCTGATTGGTTGTTGCTACAGCTGAGAAGGATCCACCCATAGCAGCACTGTTGCAGCTGAACTTATGATTGGCTGTGGAGGAAAGGAGAGAGGAAAAAGGAAGAAGAAGCACATGTAGGGAGGCAGACATTTTCAAGGGACCGCATGGAGCAAGGGTTCCTGGTGTAAAGTCACAGAGTCTCACTCTCTGTGCTGCTAGAGCCCATGGGCTGGGCTGAGAGTGTGTAGCAGAGGAATTGTTGCAGGACGACAGTGTGCAAATCAAGGATTGTCCTGCCTGACACTCAGGATTACAGCCACTCAAGTGCATGTGTCTCTCAAAGTTTGGAGCTGCTGAAAGAGAGAGGATTTCTACTACTGTCTAATGCTATCTAGAGGACAATCCAGAAACAGTGAGTACTCTGTGATGAAAGGGGATTTTGATAATGCTGCATTGGCTGTTCATCTCTGGAGAATGGTTATGAGAAAGCCTGCTCTCTAATTCTCAGAGTGACACAGATCTTGGAAAGCCCAAGCTGCTCAGAATTAGCTATTCCTGCTGCTGATTGATGAGAGAGAACTCTGTCTCTGTATATAACTGGTTATTGTCACCTCAAAATTTGTGCTGTGGCTGAAGAGTGTGTTTTAGTTCCAAATCCCCACAGAAGCTTGCTGCTCTGAATATACTGAGCAAGTGTCAATGCATCAGGATTTCACCTGTATGGTAAAGACTTTGTTGAAGTGTTGCTTTTCTATTGCAATGTTCACTGGAAGATTCTGCCTAAAGGAGACTGTGCTATCCTGCTACCCTTGGATTACAAATACTCTCCCATTTAGAGAGTGAGCGCTTTTCCATTGATTAAAGGTCCCCAACGTTGAGAGACTTTAAGTTTCATCCCACTGGCCAGTGGTTAGGTAGGATATTTCTGCTCTAGATAGTACTGCTATAGCAAATGTCAATAAGCTGCTAAATCTGCTAAATCTCATTAACAGTTATTGTTTCATATGTCAATGTCACTCTCATGTGATACTAGTCAGTTTTTGGAGTCTTTGGCAAGTGAAGAGTGATTTCTTACTAACTGTGTTATGCAAAGTGGTATCTGTGTTTTATGTAACTTACCTGTGTTAAATCAGCTAGTTCTTTTTCAGGGTTTGTCTTCTTCAATAAAACCCATAAAAAATATTCTTAGAGTGTCGAAGTGTTCTGGGTATAATCAGAGGTGTCACCAGATTCAGGTGGGAGCTGAACCTATATATCTAGCCAAGCATCACCCAAGGGTGTGCTACAGTGGTTTTTAGCATTTTTTTAAATAAAAAAAAGTCCAAAAATGCTGGTTTGCAGCATTTTGCCATGTTTTTCAGCGTTGCAGCTAAAAAACCCCTCTAGAAACCCACTAATCCTGTTTTTTTTTTCCAGCAAAAAAACGTCGATTACAGTCTATGTGTGCATGGACACATAGGATAACATGCTGGGGGGGTTTACTAGGTGTAGAAAAAAAACATCAAAAGCCAGAAACAGCAGCTGTAAAAACATCAAGTGTGCATGAGGACTTAAATGAAGGGAACAACCAAGAACTCGGAGAGAACATGTACAGATAAAATTAAGAGGGAAAAAAAAATGTAGTTATCTGAGTTTTAATTTAGCCATATATTTTGCCATGATACACTGTATGCATGATACATTGCTAAATCAGGAACAAAATATTAAAGCAGTAATAAACCCAAAAGAAAACATTTATTATGTCGCAGCTTACCTATACTTAAATGTATTTACTGTACTAGTTGTCTTTTTTAGGCTCTATTTTTCCTATTTTCATCTGGTGATTTAGCCAGTAAGTCTGTTATTTTTTAGAAGAACAAGGTCTCTTGCGGATGCAGCAGTTACAGGGATGAATCAGACCATTTACCAGTGACCTTTATTACCTTTACTTTTATTTATTTATTTGTTGTTTTTTATAAAGTGTTAGCTGGACTTTGGCTTCAATTTGTTAGTGTATCTAAATCTGCTAGTCCATCTAACACTCTCCCCAGACTGACAATGCTGCTCTCCAAAGGTGCCCCCTGTGCTCCTTCATCCAGAATGGGGGGACTCTAATAAAGGAGGTGTGTTATTGGCCAGATCGCGAGGTGAAAACAGAGGGGAAAAAAACTTAAAAAGGAAATCCAATGCAGCCACCACAGATAATGATTGGTAAGCTGTACTATAATCCATTTTTGGTTTTGGGTTTAATACCGCTTTAAGGATTTGCGGTTAGTAGCCAGAGAAAGCTCATGAAAATATGTATATATTCCTGAAATTGTAAAACACATTTGGAGAGAAGCAGTTTGATCGTACATATACACTTTAGTTCAACTTTCTGCGGTAAAAGAAAAGTTAAACAGTATATTTCATCTAATTGTTTTAAACGATGAAACTGTATAACTAATAACAATATATTTAACACTCATCTGCTACTCTAAACAAATGCATACTGGCATATATTTTTTTAAAATCTGTTAAAGTAAGCCTGCATGAACCAGCAAGAATATGCAACGGCAGGAACCATTAGCTGTTGACGCATACCCTGAAGCGCTTGTACCTAGGGTGCTCCAAAATGCAGATGCTGAATTTGTTGTGAATTGATCAGGAACACAGCATGTGAAGATGGTTCTCTGTATATGGCCCAGATGTGAGGACTCCTTGGAGCTACGTTTGCCAAGCAGAGGGTATGTTAAGGCACCCCATGGCAGCTGCTGTTGCAGAGGCATGCTGGTTTATGCAGTGTTCCCTTACAACAGGTTTACTTAAACTTATGCCCAATTATTTTTTTGGCATAATTGTAGAGAAAATCTTTTGGCATCCTTGGCTTTGTACAGTAATTAGACTCAGAGCTATCCTGTACACAGTCAATATAGTCTGTGTTACATTTGTCACACCTACAACTCAATGCTACAGGGTAGGTATAGCGTGAATTGACATGCACTGGGCAGCCAGGAATTGAAACAGTTTTGAGCGTGTAGTCACTGTATGTACAGACGTTCTGATTTAGATTGATCTCAGGCAAATTTCCCTTCATATTAGGATCCTGTGAAGGAAAACAAAACAAGTATTACTGGTGAAGGTGCATTGAGCTTTGTTGTATTTAAGGATTATCAAATTAAACTCATTAAAGTGATTCTAAAGGTTCTTTTTTTTTAAAATAACAAACATTTCTATACTTACCTACTGTGTGCAGTGGTATTGCACAAAGCAGCCTAGATCCTCCTTTTCTCAGGTCCCCCGCAGGCTCTCTTGGCTCCTCCCTCCTGTTGGGTGCCCCCACAGCAAGCAGCTTGCTATAGGGGCACCCACTGCTCTGTATGTACATTCACACAAGGAGCTGCAGCTTGGCCCCACCTCCTCTCTCCCCTCATTGGCTGATTGTCTTTGATTGATAGCAGAGGGAGCCAATGGCTCCTGCTTGCTGTCTCAGCCAATGAGGAGGCAGAGACACGGGACAGCCAAGGCTGTCATTCACATTGCTGGATCGCAATGGGACTCAGGTAAGTGTTGGGGGGCTGGGACACTACTGCACACAGAAGGTTTTTTACCTTCATGCATAGCATGCACAAAGGTAAAAACCTTCAGCTTTTACAACCACTTTAAGAAAACAAGTAGTTACTTATAATTATTACAGGTACTTATATAGTGCCATCAATTTACACAGTGCTTTACATATATACACTCACCTGCCACTTTATTAGGTACACCTATTCAATTGCTTGGTAACACAAATTTCTAATCAGCCAATCACATGGCATCATTTAGGTATCTAGACGTGGTGAAGACAACTTGCTGAAACTGAGCATCAGAATGGGGAAGAAAGGGTATTTAAGTGCTTTTGCATGTGACATGGTTGTTGGTGCCAGACGGCCTGGTTTGAGTATTTAAAAAACTGCTGATATACTGGGATTTTCTCTAGGGTTTACAGAGTATGAAAAAGGGCTCCAACATATGAGCCCGAAAGCATGGGCATGCGGACGCCATCCCTTAATTTAATAAAAGAAAATGTTCTCCTCAGGAATAAGTAGAAATTAGGTTAGGGCACCTTTAAGAAATTTGACAGGGGAAAAAAGTGGGAAGAGAATAACCACGTGACCTTGGAAAAAGCGGGAAAAATCACGTGACCTTGAACATTCCGGAATTTTTTTGGGATCATTATATAAAAGGGCACTCCGTGACAGAATTGTCACTGTTGGTCAGAGTTGGCCAACAGGCTCCAGGGGGCTATAATACTAAGGAGCCCGTTTGCGCTAAACCTGACCATGAAGACCCTCATGAGGCAAGTTTTGGAGCGAGCCGGGAGCAGTGGAGGAGAAGAATGGCTGCTGTGCTGCCAGGGGCGGACTGACCATTCAGGCACTCGGGCACTGCCCGAGGGCCCGGGGTCAGTAGGGGGCCCCATGAGATGCCCCTGGTACCTTTTGTAGCAAACTTGCTAATCAGAGATGGACGCAGAGTCCCCCTTTTTATTAAAAGTAATCCTTTATTCTCCTTCCCCCTCCCTTCCTGAGAGGCACAGTGACAGATGTGTATTAAAAGTCAGGGGCAGGTAGAACCGCAGGGGGCCCAGAGCTACAAAGCCCCCCATGAAGCCAGAGCCTGGTTGTCCCAAGGCCTGTGCAAACTCGCGCCTCCTAACCAAGATAAGGCAGCTTGTCCCAGGACTTGAAAGAAATTGTAACCTCATAAAACCAACGAGAAGGTGACAGAATTAAATGAACATTCCTCAAGTCAGTTGTCCCCTATGTTTCATATCATGGATTATGAAGCTGTTGGTTTTAATTCAGAGTCCACCTGACATCCCTCCCTAAACAGAGATTGGCCAGTTACTCAGAGCCACCCCCCTTGCTGGGGGACTTTAAAAAACACAGGCTGTAGGCCTGAAGGTAAGCAAAACACATCTCCCAATTTTAACATCAATATACCACCCGGGAGATCAAAGACCCTTTCGCTCTGTAACTTGGATCTGCTACCTCAAGGCTTAACATGGCAAGTAACTTAACCTTTTAACTTCTCCCTGTTATCTCTTTGCTGTGCTGTGCTGTTTTCTATGCATATATATATATATATATATATATATCTTAGTTACATCTTTTTTCTGTAAATATTTTATTGCACCTGTTTGACTCTTTTAGTAATAAATCTTTCTTTCTGAAAGTGTTAAACTGTTTCTAAAGCGCTTAATTGCAATTTACGAATTCCTGCCTTTTGAAGAGATGCTACTGTGTTTGTTTAATCCTCTGCCCAATCGGCCTGCGGTGACCGTATTGGACAGTAGACTTTTCAACCATTACAGTGTATATTTGATAAAGAGAGTTTCCCCTTTCTCTGTACAAAAAGGGGTGGTGGCAGTGTGAAGGGTTGGTTGAGTAATTAACCCAACCCAGTAAGAAGCGCATTCAGGCTGCCGGTGCGTCGATTGCGTTCCATTAGCTGGACAACCGTTGTGCAGGGCGCAGCTGAGTGTGGCATTGTTACGCACATCACATCGTCTGGATCAGCCGGACCTTCAGTCACGAGTTTGGTGAAAAGGTCTGGGGTCTGACGATCGTGATGTATTGGTGGTCGCGGTCGTGAGATTGTCGCATGTTGGTGGTGGCGATCATGCGATCGTGACACCTTTCATAGGCTTTTTTGGGTGTGGTTTGAGTGTGGGCAAGGGCACAGGGGCCCCATGATCCCCTATTGCCCGGGGGCCCCATGAGTTGTTAGTCCGCCCCTGGTGCTGCCTTGATATGGCAGCCGAAGGAGAAGAGCGGCAGGAGCAAGAGCGGGAAGACACAGAACAGGGGCTGGAGAACTCACCGAAGCGAAGTGCTGGCAGAGGAAGAGCGGCCGAATGGAGCCTGTCACAGAAGAGCGGGAGTTGGCGTGGTCCCAGCGGTTGTCCGGCATCATCAGCAGGGCAAGAATAGTCCTGCTGGGCATCGGGAAAAGCGGTGGTCGGAAGAGCAAGCCAGCGTGTGAAGAGGAAGAGGCGGATTCCTTCGCCGTCGGGAAGAGTAAGTAGGCGTGGCAGTCAAGCGGCATCCCTCGGAGCTGAAAGTGAGGCTGCGGCCTCCCAAAGCGGTTGCTGAGCAACAACCTCAACACGATCTGAGTTGGGAAAGCCCGAAGAGAAACGAGCCTGTGCATGCAATACTGACTTTATCCAGTGGTGGCAGCAGAGGTCAGCACAGGGCTCCAGTGGATCCAGAAAGCAAAACAGCGGCATCTTGTGGAAATGGTGAGTAAGATTACCAATGGGCTGTTCACTGTCTTGTGCGCATTTAAAAAAAATGTCAACATTCTTACAATGGGCTATTGAAAAAGAATCAGGCCAGAATGGGATAACTCATTATCTGGATGATTTTTTGTTTATAGGCCCATCATTTTTGACATTATGTGTAGACATGCTGCAAATGTTCAGTAAGGTAACGCAGCATTTTGGTATATCATTAGCAAACTAAAAAACGATTTATCAAACCACAAAATTGGAATTTTCAGGTATATTGATAGACACAGAAAAATTTGAATTTCGACTGCCAAGAGAAAAATTTGAAAAAATTGATCATGGGTTTTAAGAAGAAAAAAAGTATTAAAAGAGTTACAGCCATTATTAGGCCTACTGGCATTTGTATCTAGAATAATGCCAGTGGGAAACATTTTTTTTGCGTATGCTTTATTTAGCGATTTTGGGTTTAAAATCTCCTTTTTCACATGTAAGATTAACCTGTGAAATAAAGGAGGATTTAGTAGTATGGTTTTTGAGGAGTATAATGGTCGTTCGTTTTTTCAGGATGAATTTATCTTTGCAACTGATTTTGAATTGTTCACTGATCAGCCGGCTCATTTGGTTTTGTGGCAATATGGAAATCTCATTGGAGTTGTGGTAAATGGCCGTCAAAACGGATTCGAAAGAACGCAACAAAGAACATAGTTTTGCTAGAACTATTTCCTCTAATAGTAGCGTTGGAATTATCGGGAGAGCACTTTTCCAACAAAAGGCTGTTAGTAGAGACAGATAATAGAGGGGTTATGTATGCAGTAAATTGTTTATCATCTGGGTCAATTTTTGTGGTAAAATTGCTTAGATATTTAGTTTTGAAATGTTTAAAACATAATATTTGGATTAAAGCAAGATATGTTCCAGGTAAAGAAAATCAAATAGCTGACGCCTTATCTTGATTTTAGATATCAAGATTCAGACAATTATTTCCGACAGCAGATTTAAAAGGTTTCGAATGCCCAGATCACCTGTGGAACCTGATTTAAACTTAGTGATAAAGGCCATAAAAAATTTGGTATCTAACAACACATGGGTTGCATATTCATCTTCACGGAATAAATGGAAGCAGTTTTCCAGAGAATTGGGTTTTCAGTTCGATTCCCCATCTGAGAATACAATTCGTTCTTTTTTGTGCTCGTTAATACACCTGAATTTTGCTTATAGCCATAAAGTTAAAATTCTAGCAGGAGTTTCATTTTTCCTCAAGTTAAATAATTTTCCAGCATGGACGTCATTCTTTTCGGTGAAACAAGCGCTCAAGGGATATAAAAAACAGCATTATTCTCCAGACACAAGAAGTCCCATATCTATCGAATTGTTAAAAAAGTTATGTAGGATTACCAAAGAAATTTGTTTTTCAGAATTCAAAACTATAGTGTTTAACGTGGCATTTATTCTAGCACTTTTTGGAGCATTACGCATATCAGAACTATTGCCCCCAAATAAAAAGACAGTGTCTGGTCTACTGCTACAAAATGTGATTGTTTTGGAAAATGGAATTAGTTTGTTTATTCCATTTTCAAAAACAGATCAGGCTGGAAGAGGAAAATGGATCAATCTTTGTACTTGTGGAGACATGGATATTTGCCCTTTCGTCATGGTAAAAAAGTATTTGAATATTAGATCGGTCATCAGACTTTTTCTTGTGCATGCTGATGCATCACCTTTAACTAAGTATCAATTTAAAGCCATATTTAAAAAAGGCATTAAAAAATTAGGTCTTATACGATTTAAATTCACATCTCATTCGTTTACAATAGGCGCAGCTACGGAAG